CAGTTTTTGCTCCTTTCCCTCCTCGGTCAACTAAGTTCCAGGGGACTATGAGCATCTCTCAAAATGTCCTGTAACTGTGGCGAGTCACCTGTCCTCTTGAGCAAGGAGGCCATGGAGACCCCACCAGATGGATCCGAATCACTGTCCAGTCTACAAAGAGGAGGGTCAACACTGAGAAAACATTTCCTCCATGCTTCTAAGCAAAGCCAGCCATGGTCGAGCAGGACCTTTGACTTATCTTCACATAGATGGAAGTGGTAAAAGAAAGGAGCCAGGGGCTCCTCCCAAGCCCATGTGACCCCTGAGGAACAGATCCTCAAAAGACCTTAAGAGTAAAAATAAATTGTTATATTTGGGCCAACTGTAGGGTCTTAAACAGCCAAAACGAAACTATAACAAAAGATTAATGGGCTCAATATAATTTTTAAGAGTCCATGTGTATAGCTAAAGGCTACATAACAAGAAACAATGCCAGACAGGAGATACCTTCCTTTGAGTTACTGGCCAAGGTGGCACAAGAGACTCCCAGGCAGTAACCCAGCATAGAAATGGGAAAATGAACAGCAGACCCCAATCTTATCTAAAAGAATATTGACAACTGATTGCTGCTAGATGAGGAACAGCTGATGTTCCTAAAACAAGGCTCTCTAGATAGGCTGACTAGATTCAGCAGATGGACAAGCACTGGAGAATAGCTGGAGGTGTCGACAACACAGAGGACAGTAACAGGGATGACAGAGTATATGGGCTCCAGTATGTGTGAGGGGGAGGCTATGGGAGGGTGCCATTTGGGAAGTGGGTATATAGGTGAATAATATTGTGTGGGATGTTCTGTGTGATATAAACACAGAAAAATCAGCAAATTGAAAAAAAGACAGATTTGAGGAGGAAGCATTAAAATTTACTTCTTGTTAAATAGTAGAAGTGATAAACATTACCAGTGAAATCTACCTGAGAACTTTATATCCATACTCAGGTACTAAGGATCTGAGTGTAACCAACTGTGACTAGTAATCATCAGATACATAGAGATTAAAGACACATGTGCAAACATCTAAGTGTTAGTAGCATTAAAAATGTAGGAAACAGCATATTTTAATATGAAATGGAGATCTTCCTTAAAGGCTAAAAACTCATTCAATTTTATATGTCACAGGGGTTATACTGAGTTCAATATTGTATAACTGTATTAATTCAACTGTGAACCTAAAAATTTACAGCCACTTTTGAAAGAGATGTACTCTTGCTCTGGAGTGTGTTACTGAATATGTTAAAGCTGTGATGAAATGCTTCTTGTAATCATGCGCTTATTAAATTTTAAAAAAGTGAAAAAATAATAATTCTTCAAAACATAAAAATTTTCTCCTTAATAATTAATAGATGTGAAAAACATTACCACTGAAATCTACCTGATGACTTTATATCCATTCTCATATGCCAACAAGCTCACAAAGTAACTGACTGTGACTAGTAATAATCAGATATATAGAGATTGGAAACACATGTGCAAACATCTTTGTTTTAGTTGCATTAAAAATGAGTTTTTCTCTATCAAACTGTGTATTTTAATAATGAAATGGAGATCTTTTTTAAAGGTTAAAACCTCATTTAATTTTATGTCTTATAGGGTTATACTGAGTACAATATTGTATAACTGTATTAATTCAACTGTTAACCTAAAAATTGCAGCCAATTTTGAAAGAGATGCATCTTAGCTCTGGAAATTGCTATTGAATATGTCAATGCTGTTGTCATGAAATGCTTCTTCTAAGTATGTGATTATTAACTAATTTTTAAAAATGCACTTAGAAATGAAAAGAAAGCAAGAAAGTACATTATAAAACCAATTGTGCATCCCATCTGAGGAAAACAATGTGCACTGGGAAAAACAAATTGTGAGGAGATACTAGCTTGCATGTACTTTTTAGGTTGCTTTTAATTCTAAGGTGTTTTGTAATTTGTTTCCTACTTATAGAATACCATCATGGATACTTTTCTAATGACAAAAACAATAAATTGTATTTAGTACAACATATAGAGTAATAACTTCTCTGTTCTGCTGCAATATCATTCCAGCTGGTCTCCTTTTTACTTTTTTCCTTTATAAAATTTATTTAATGTTATGTGTATGAGTGTTTTGCCTGCAAACATGTAAGTGCATGATGTGTATGCAATTCTCACAGAGGTCAGAAGAGGGCATCAGATGTCCTGGAACTAGAGTTTTGGATGGTTGTGAACAGCCATGTGGGTGCTAGGAACCAAACCCAGGTCCTCTGTAAGAGCAATCAGTGCTCTTACCTGCTGAGCTATCTGTCCAGCTCCATTTTCTTTTTGACTTAAAAAATAATTTTAGGGGCTGGAGAGATGGCTCAGCGGTTAAGAACACTGGCTGTTCTTTCTCTGTCCTCTGCGGGTATTGCATGACATGGGTGCACTTACCTACATGCAGGCCATATACACATACATATAAAAATAATAAATAAAATATTAAAAATTATTGTTGTCCAGTTTTTCAATTCTTATCTCCTAATACACTCTTTCTCCAAGCCTGGAGAATAACATCTAAATTCTTAATCTTAGCCTACAAGATTCTACATGACACTGCTCCAGGCTAAATTTCCAATCTTCCCTACAGTCACAGTCTCGCAGATTCACTTAAGCCACATTGTCTTTTGTTTCCTTGAGTTCTCTGGGCTCTTTGAATCCCAGGTTTTCACATCTGCCATTCCTTGCAATGAAAAGCCTTACCATGGTCCCTTCACAGGACTTTGTTTACCTTGTTGTAGCTATTCTTCATTAAAAGTGTGAAATCCTTAGAGAAGCCTTTTTTCTCAGAGTATGTTTAGTTTCTCTGGTAGATATTCTCAAAACAACTGTTCTTTTTGTTCACAACAGTAATGATCATTTTAAAAGAGATATTTAAGTTTTTATTTCAATATTATTTGCCTCCCTTGCCAAACCATGGGCTCCCTGAGGGCATGGATCACATTTAATGTGCTCAGGATTATACCCTCACAGCATTTAAGGCAGCATGATAAGCACGTGGTAGGTACTCAGCAGATATTTTTGAAAGAATACATAAGTGACATTATATGAATGAACTTTCCACAAGAGCTAGTAGAGATTATGGAGCAAAGATTACGTAAGGAAGTACACGAAGGAGAAGCATATGTAGACTATGTTATTCCACAATCATGATTTTAGTGATCAGTTCTGAAAGTGGCTATGGGTCACTGGAAAATGGGTAACAATGTAAATTTCCTTTTGTACTATATTTTTCTACATTTGACCTAGTGGACTATTCCTATTTAAAAGAAGAAAGTACTGTGAATTTGCTTTTGAAAACAAAGTAACAGTATAACCAATGTAGTTTTTACTTTAAGGCCGAGGACAGTAAAGTAGGATAATTTACAGATGGGTATAAATTATGAGGTCCTATTTCGCTGTTCTTGGAATTGTATTTCATTATATAATTGATAGAGCACAACATAACGAAAGCCCAATTCAAGTTGGCCTAAATACGCTCTATTTTTTTCTTCTAGGGACAACTTGTACACATTCAGTCAGGTTGAGTAATAGTAGTTTTTATAATTAAAGCCAGCATTAAAGGGATAAAAGAGAAACATTTTCTAGAGAAGAAAAATATTGGCTACAAATTAGACTTGCCCCAGCGATTAAACTTTAGATTGTGATCTTAACTTTTTAAAACATAACCTTTAAAAAAGATGTTAAGAAAGCAAAGCAGGAACATTTATGATGCTGTAACATCATTGGATGAAAGTCACAGGCACTAGCTTCCCTTGGCTTATTCCCTCCCTGAACTCTTGCCCTCACAAAAGAAAATTATTTTTGGGTATTTTAAACCTTTGAGTCTCTTGGCTTAATGTTTTAATAATCACCTTTTCCAAAATTTTAGTCTAATTTTTCTGTTTGATCTAGTCACAAGTTAGTTGTCTAGTAGTTATGTGCATAATCAACTCTAGGAAATATCTTACTGAGTATTCCCTTAATAGTTAACATAGAAGCAACAAATATTTCAATTGTTTATCTTTTTTTCAAAATTTATTCCCAGCTAATCCAGAGTTATACAATGATGTGTGAACTCAAGACACAATAAAAATATATTTTAAACAAATAGTCATGAAATAAACTTATGCAATGGCACATAAAATGTAAGGAACACTGACACAACTTATTACAATAAGAATGTTCCATATAAAAGAAACAAGAGAGAATCTGTAAGTATACCTTATTTTCTTAACATTCTTTTTAAATGCCACAGATTTCAGTTGACAGTGTAAATGTACACCTCGAAGGCATTGGTAGTAGTTATTAGTGTGGATAAAGAACTTTAGTTTTGATGCCATAGATTAAACCCAGTATTGAGCACATGCTAAGGCTATGCTCTACCACTGACTTACATCTCAAGCACCTAACCAGATCCATACATTGAAAGCCTAACTAATGAAGTCAATACTGTACGCCCAAGAATATTACTTATTCAAGTAAAGATGTGGCTTATATTCCATTGTTACCTGTGTGCTCCAGAACAATTTTATGAGACTAGATATAACCTACTCTAAATCATTTGATAAAACAAATGAAAAGGCAACCAAGTGAGTTTTTTGGTGATAATGACCAACCACTAGGCATCAGATTGCATCACAGTGTAATTATTTACCTTTAGATCTTCAGATCACTGATTTAACTGGACTATTTCATAGTCATATTTCCATCATATAACTGGTCATATTGTAATCTAATTGGTTAGCCTGTAAATATTTTGTTCAGATATCACTATAAAAATGAAATAGCTCCTTAGTATGAGGGAACCGTATTTCCTAATAGAGTAGTGGAAGTATGTGCACATAACCAGAAAGCACTAAACTTGAACGTGGGTGGGCCCTTTCCAAAACTCATTGAAACAGGAAAAGAACACAAAACACAAACAACTTTCAAAGTTTTCAAAACGATTGTATTATTAATGCCACTTTCCCCCTCTCTTCTTTTTATTAGTGCATTTTCAGATAAAAGTAAATTCCTTTTGCAGAGTTATAGAGACCTCAAGGGTTTCTGATTCTGCAGTGAAGAATGCCTTAGCACTGTCACACTTCACAGGCTGGGGCAAGTTTAATAACAGTTTCCTAAAATGAGATAAGATAAAACAAAATAAAATGAGAACCCAGAGTTAGCATTGTAAAGCAATATATCACTTTCAATAATGCATAAGAATATATATATGTTACCAGAATGCTTGACCCCATCTCCCCAAAAGTATTTAGATAGCATAAATACTGAACCACAAAGTGTACCTATATGGCACAGATTATGTACCACTTTGGGTCCTTAAATTCTAAGCAGGTAAGCCACTTGTGGTGGTATATGCGTGCCTGTAATCCTAACACTCTGGAGGTAGAGGCAGGAAGACCCCAAGTTTAAGGCCAGTATAGGCTGTGTAAGGAATCCCAAGTGAGCCTGTGGTGAATAGTGGGAACCTATCTCATAAAAGAAAAAATCCAAGTAGTTGTTTTACTGACTGTCTCTTTTTCTTTAAATTGGCCTCATTTTGCATTGTATGTACATAGTTTCAGGTTATGCTTTATAGGCTTAGAAATAGAACCACACAACTTTAAGTTTGTAGGACAGATCTGTTGTATGTAGGTGGAATGCAGCCAGCTGATACAAATCTGAAACTGAGTGGTTCTTTAACACTTCTGCTAACACATCTTTAGGCTGAGTGCTAGTATAGGTGTAGTTTTATGCTGGGAATGATTTCAGTGCCAGATCAATGGAAATACTCTTCTTTGTTTGCTACTGATTCTACTACACATTGACAAAAATTCCCTGTGATAGACTTCTGGGTTTATTTTGCAGTTTATAGCTCCGTTGCTGGACAGTTGTGTGCTTTTAGATACATTGCTGGGATGAAATATCCATAATTCTTTCATAGTGGTATGAATCTGAATTATGCATAAGGTCAGTACATGCTGACACCTAAAGAAATTTAAATATGTGAAACACTTTTTACCTCATTTTCGCAGTAGATAAGGCCTGAGTGTCTACAAAAGGCAGACATAAAAGCACTCTTGGCTACAATTCAGCAAAGAAATATGGCATTTTGTGCATGTGTGTGTCTATGTTCCTCTGTGTGTGTATGTGTAAGGGGGTGTATAAGTAGGCCAGAGGTTCACATCAGGTGTCTTCCTCAGTTTCTCTCCACCTTATTTTTTATGAGGCAAGGCCTCTCACTGAGCCTGGCGCTTGCTGAATTGACTAGCTTGGTCAGCAAGCTCTGGACCTGGCTTTTATGTGTGTGTAGGGATCAGAACTCAGGCCTCCATGTCTGTGTGGCAAGCACTTTACCTGCTGAGCTATTTCCCCAGCCCTAAGAATCTTATTTTTAGGGGCATTTCTAGTATATTTGAATAGAGATCTGGTATTTGAAAACAAAATATTTGAAAATCAATTCACTGTTGACTTATTGTTTAGGGAACCAGTCTCATTAGACGTACTTATTACATGGAGTTGGACAGATGGCTCAGTTGTTAAGAGCACTGGCTGCTCTTGCAGAGGACCCAGGTTGGGTTTCCAGCACCAACGTGGTGGCTAACAACCATCCATAACTCCAGTTCCAGGGGATCTGATGCCCACTTCTGGCCTCCATGGACATTACATGACACAGGTATACTTACATACATGCAGGCAAAATACACACACAGAATAAGAGTAAACAAATAATTTTTAAAAGCATTTATTACACATTTATAGAACCTAAAGGAAACTTCTGTTACTGCTATTCCTTTTCCTAAGAATTATGAGGAATAATTCCCACCATCTGAATTAAACAGAAAGATATTTTTAATATTTTATTTTATTATTTTTATCTTATTTTATGTGTACGAATGCGTTGTCTGCATGTATGTAAGTGCACCGATATCATGCAATGCCCACAAAGATCTGAAGAGGGTGTCGGATCCCCTAGAACTGGAGTTACGGATGGCTGTTAGCCACCATGTGGATGCAGGGAACTGAACCCAGGTCCCCTGGAAGTGTTCTCAATCACTGAACCATTTCTTCAGCCTCAAACAGAAAAATAGTTTAGTGTATCTTGTAATATTTGGCATCTCAAAAATAGCACATTAGACATTCAAAGTCCATCTTTTTAAGCTTTTTATAATATAGGTTGTGCTAGAATTGGATTTGCTGCATCCCTTATTCTATAAATGACAATATATTCACTTTAAAAAGAAAGCAAAGCTTAGTATGGTAGCTTCATTGCACTAACCGACAACTATAAATCGGTTGGGGAAGGAGTTCCAATGGTAATGTGCACTTGTCTGTCCAGAGAGAAATAAATTCAGAAGAGACAGTTAGTGGTCATTGGAATGATTCCTCATATCTCTGAATTTCTGTCTAGTCCTAAGTAGTATGGCTTCACATACTAAAATTTTGAACAGTGGTATCATGCACCTTACTTATGCTCTTAGAATAAAAGAAGTATTTTTATCAAGTTTGTTGTACTGTGTGATACATGTATAGAGATTTATATTTAAACAAAAGAAAAAAAATCTATGAATATTTTTGTTCGTGGAAGGCCAGGACTATATTTTGGTATTGTCTGACTTACTATAAATGTTGAGTTAATAAATCAATGAATGTAAAGGAAATACAGGTCATCACAAAATGGCATTTGACTAATTACCAAAGATTGGTACTAGAAAATATGAACAGACATTTAAACCCAGTTCTTCTGCTTTTATGTTGAATAAATACTTACTTTGTAAGAAGTTACAGTTTAGGCACTAATCAAATTTTTACCCAGTATCAATTTTCATTATAAACTATTTAAGTGCAGACAATAATATATGAAAGAAAAAACAAAAATATCAATACAGTTAACTTGAATTTAGAAATATACATGTATACATTAGAGGGTTTTAATTGATATTGCTTATAAGGCACAAAGGACAGTTTGTTCTGTCCAGAGTCATATAAGGAAGGTTTAATTTTGTGTAACTAGCAAAATTGTTTGGCTTACAGATCTGAGTTAAAAACAGACATCATCTTGTTCAAGTTTCTTGTAGGACACATAACTATTTTCACCAAAATAAGTGCAGAAGTAACTTGTGAACTACAATTCAGCTATTCCATTTCTAGACAACAATGCTTGTGAACAAAAATTAATTCTCAATCTCAATTAAAAGAACTTAGAAAAGGTGTGAATAACCTGAAGCATCAATCAAAAATATCTGCTTTTTAAAAATATTTTATTTATTTTTATTTCATGTGTATGAGTGTATTGCTTACATGTATGCAGTGCACCCATGTCATGCAATGCCTGTGGAGGTCAGAAGACAGCATTGGATTCCCCTGGAACTGGAGTTATGGATGGTTGTTAGCCACCATGTGGGTGCTGGGAATTGAACCTGGGTCTCCTGCAAGAACATCCACTATTCTTAACCGCTGAGCCATTGCTCCAGCTCCCCAAATCTACTTTTTTAAAAAGAGTCAGTTTATTGTATTTATAATGGGTTTGCATTATAATGTTTAAGGCAGTATTTAGGATACTCTAATAAGTACTTCACAAAATTAGCAAAACCTCATGTGAAGGCAAAAATCAGGAGAGATTCAGGGCTAGAGAGGTGGCTCAGCAGTTAAAAGCACTGGCTGCTCTTGCAGAGGACCCAGGTTCCATTCCCAGCACCCACATGGTGGCTAGCAACCATCCATAACTCCAGTTCCAGGGGATCCTATGCCCTCTTTTGGCATCTATGGGCATTGCATGACATGGCTGCACTTACATACGTGCAGGCAAAACACTCAAACACACAAAAATTAAATAAAATTAAAAAATTTAAAGAATCAGGAGATTGTAGGAAATTATCCCATTTTCCTCATTTTTCCCCTCTTTTCTAGCTAAACCACGTTGGGAATCTACACACCAGCTTATATCCAACTGTAAAAAAATTTGAGAAATCCAATAAACTATTTCTTTTGGTCAAACAAGGATAAATATTAGGGATTTGAGGATAATCTAGTGAAATTGAGTATCTTTTTACTGAAATCACTAGTCAATTCAGTTAAATTCATTTGTTCTATCTTTAGATACATGAACAAAATGTTCTCCACTGACACTTTTTTTGAGTCTATAAGCACACTATTACAGGATGTCATAGACAGAAATTAAACAAAGTAGGTGGGAATATTGATAACTCAAAACAAGCCACATTTTTGATAATATAATTTCTGAAAACATCACAGCTTTAAAAGATGCTGAAGCATTTTGAAAGAGTGAATTTTACTTCTATCTTTTGTCTTCTGTCTTAAGAGATATGTTCCCTCTCTACTGAATGTGTAATCTATACACATACTATGTGTAATATTTTTCATTTGTGCATATCACTTTCATAATTTAATATATAAGTCAAGTATACAAATAACTTAGTGCAGTCCAAATTCTGTGTAGAAAAACACGTCTGTGAGAGTCTTTCATTTAGTGAGTTCTGATGGATATCTAGAATGACAGCAAAGCAAGAGCAGCTGCCTGAAGATTGATGGAGACAGTGAGAACCGCTAGGGAAACGGAAATTAACTCCACGGTGTGTAGATCTGCGTGTGATTTTAGCAAGCGTAAAAACATCACGGAGGACTGACTGTTCATTTAACCAACTTTCCTTGCAAAGTTTGTACTGAAGAGTAAATGCATGTATGCCTTATTTATTATATTATATAAAATAACCTACATTTAAAGTGTAACTACTCTCTGAATTGGTGGTGAGGATAATGAATCTAATTTTTGTAGGATGCTGTTTTTTGAGAATACATTTGTAAATAATGTGACTAGTGAGAAAATTTTGATAAATATTCACCCATATATCATTTTGTATTAATAAATACAAATAAAGAAAAAATAAAGATTAAGCCATGCATGTGTATTAGGTTGTTTACACATATCACTCTTTTGTAATAAGGATACATTTTTTTTTATCATCTCAAAGCCCTAAGCTGAACAAAAGAAAATTGTTGGTACTGACAATAGAAGGAAAAGAATGCACCAGAAAATGTCTGTTTCCTGAATCCAGAAGAATTGCAGAGAAAGAGCCACTCTCATTACCTCATCTGTGCTCACAATACATCCACATGAAAAGCGAGCAAATCAGTGAGATATTAATATAAGGTATAATACAGATCAGGTGCCACTAATGTCCTTTTTAAATAACTAGTGAGACATGACTGATTTACCTGTGCTTCAGGAGAAATATTTTGCATCAGAATTGTACTGTATGTGCTGTCTGGGGAACATGATTTGAACTGATATAATGAGAAGACTATGATTGATGGATAGAAAAATATTTATCTGGATTATCTCATTATCTATGTGATTTTTAAATATATCTTCACAACCTGAGGATCTCATGATAAATTAGCTGTTAGAAATTTGGTTTTAAGAAATTGATGACAAGATTTTTTTTTTAGAGGAACCTATTCTAATTTTAGCTTACAGGCTGCTAACATCCAGAAAGTTTAAAGATAATGTGTCTCTTATACAATCAGTCTACCAAATTTCACATGCAAGACTTACAGCTTAGAGGATTTTCATTCTGATAAACTGTATTTAAATGTCAAGGATTATGTTTTGATGCTGTCAACCCATACCTAATAAACAGGTGCAAAACAGGAAAAATTTGGTTATTTCCAAACAGTTTTTGACAGTGCTGGCAATTGAACACAAGGGCTCATGCACGCTAGGCAAACATTTTACCACAGAGTTACATGCCCTACCTCATATTCACTTTATTATGTAGATCAAAATACTCAAATGATTAGCTGAAAATTTACTCTTTTTAGGACTTCAAAGTTAATGAAAACAGCTATACTTAAAAAAACAATATTCTAATGGCTCATTAGTATCACAATTCTGTTTTACTCACTTTTTAGGAGTGCGGAGATCAAGGATCATTTCCTGGACATCAATTTGAATATCAGACAGGTTTGTATCAGGCAGTTTAATTTTAATCTGAGATAAAATAAGAGCTGCAATGTTATTTTGAAGAGGAGTTTTTTTAGGCTTAAGAATATATGAGGAAAATAGAAATAGTATTTTTCAAGAGAAACTGCCAACTATGTACCAGGCTATGTAATTTCCTTTTATCGATCTTGAGAAATAGAAGTTGTTAGCCTCATTTTACTCCTGGAGAGATAGAAGACTTTAGTGAGTAGCCAAAAGGCAACCATCTGTAATATGACTAAACTTTATCTGACTCTGAATTTTTATACAAACACTAGATATTTATTTGTAGCCTTCATTGTCTGAAATGTACTACTAGATTTAGTAGGGACCTTTGAACACCTTTGTATAAGTAGAAATGTGCACAGAAATGTTTAGGTGTCATGTTAAGTATGGGTTGGTGATGCCATCCTGTAGCGTCATGCTAAAAATAGCAACACCACATTTCCTAGGGAGGTGCAGGAGTCTAGAAATGTTTAACAGAAGAGAGATAATATTATGACCCCTATCTCCCAAGAAGGACTACCTGCCAGTTCAACAAGATTTTAATCACAAATGTTTCATCTCCAAAAGAAAAATTAGGAGGAACCAATAGAGGGATGCTTTTGGAAGCCCTTGTCAAGAAATTCCAATGGACTTTCACATGAACATTTGAAAATTGCCTTGTTCTGACTTTTTTCTAGTTCGCTGTCTAGAATTTGTAATGCTAATTACTCTTGCCTTTACTTCTTCACATCTCCTATTCACGATTGAAGGACTTTCTTTTCCCCCTTCGAGATAAGAGCTATGCAATTTGGGAGTCTTTTAGATAGACCCACTGAAGGGGTACTCCAGTTGCCTCACCTTGCATCCCTGTTCAGCATGGAAGAAGCCAGAGCAGTCTGCATCCCGATTCCCTATTGGCAATTTGGGTAACCTCTTCAGAGGATGGTGTGATAAGAACAGGAGGTAAGAACTGGTTAGACAGTTAGGGTAAAAAGACCCCAAAGAAAAGTAGCCAGTTTCTTGGCTAAAAGTTAAAATGTCTTTGGGCCTCTTAGAAACATACTCTGTTCCAAAGGCCAAAAATGTCGAAAGATTTTGGGAGCTTTTATCTAATCCTTAAAAGATTTTAGGGTTACCTCTTCAGAGGTGGGAATGTTAGATAAATCAAAGAAGAAGAAAGAGTACACGAAGTTATTAGAAAAAGTGATGGAGAGCTATGGGAGGAGTTGGAGGGGAGGGAGTGGGCATGGATTTGATCAAAATACCTTATATGCATGTATGAAATTCTCAATAAATTATTTATTTAAAAAACAACAAATGTCTCATCTCAATTACCATCAGCAGTTACACTTCATTTAAATATTTTATTCATTTCTTTTATGTGTATGAGTGTACTGCCTGTGTGTATGCAAATGCACCTGTGTTGTGTAGTGCCCTCGGAGGTAAGAAGTCATTGAATCTCCTGGTACTGGAGTTGTGGAGTCATGGACAGTTGTTAGCTGTGGGAGCAGGGAATTGAACTTGGGTCCTCTGCAAGAACAGCCAGTGCTCTAAGCTCCGGAGCCATCTCTCCAGCCCCCTAGTTCCACTTCTGTAGGTATATCTCAAAGCACTGAAGACAGGAACCGAAGCCCAACTGTGGCTACGTAGAGAGTCTGAGGACAGCATTAACTACGTGAGACCTTGTCTCAACAGCAAAATAAAATGAAAGAAATAAAAAAGGAAAAGGAAGGAAGAAAAAGAAAGCAGATGTCAAACAAAATTTGTACATGATTTTGTTTATAATATCAGTATTCATAATAGCCAAAATGTGTAAACAACCTAAATATGCATCAATGGATGAATGAATAAAGAAAAGGCAAAATATGTGTACACTGGAATATTATTCAGCTGGAGAAAGGCACAAAGTACTGCTTTACTAATGAAGTCTGAAAACATGATGCTAAATGAAAGAAGTCAGGCATCAAATATGCATTTTATAGGATTCCATTATGTCCAGAATAGGCAAATCCATAGAGAGAGAAAATAGACTGAGTTTTGTTAGTTTTGGGAGAGTAGATAAAAGAGGTATCTGCTTAATGGGTATGAGGTTTCCTTTTAGGTTGATTAAAATAATTTGGAAATAGATATTGATGATGGGTATACAGCGCTGTGAACGCACCAAATGGTGCCAATGACAAATATGTATTTTACAAGAAAAATTGTGTCTAATTTATATCTGTTTTCTTTTTGATGGAAGCTGGTATATTATGATATATGCATATATAAATATGTGAAATGACATGGTCTCTGTAAACAGAGAGACAAAGAAAGTGGTATCGAAAGTTCAGGTAAGTTATGAAAGTTTTTCTGAAATAAGCCAGATGACTTGACATTTTAGTCATCTGGCAATTTCATTTCTTGGACTGGCCAGGGTAAAAGCAAGCTATACAAGAAATACATATGAAATATGAATGTGACAAACTGGAATTCCAGGAGAAAGCTCAACACAGATAATGGTGTTTCTGTAATATAAGATGTGTGGATCAATACATGCTCGTGAATCATATTTTGTTTTATTCAATCTGTACTTAAATAATCCTATATATAGATAGAACTCCAGAAATCATATTATTTAAACACTTCCTATGATTAATGCTTTTATTAAACAATTACCTTTTAAATTATATTTTAGCAATTTAAGTCTTCATAATTAGAGATGCTTTAAATGACATAAATAGAATGTTTTCCACAGAGGTAGCTGTAGGTAGCTTGACTTAAAATAAATTAACATATTATTGGACAAAAGGCTCACTTTTACTGTAATAATTTTCATGTCATATAGTCAATTTGAGTTTTTTTTTAACACCTCCTACCTGTCGTATGAATCATGGGATGCAACTATTTGTTTCTTGACTTTGAAATTTTTAGATCTTTAAA